ATAATATATAATGCATATTTATTAATTTATAATATACATAAATATATATACAATATATATATATATACCGGTTGATTCGATTAATTGACGATTTTCTATATTAGTTAATTGAAACCGAATTAATACTTTCAATTTTTTAAAAACACCAAATCAAAACCAAACTGACCGGTTCAATTAACCAATTTTTTTATTCAATTTCGATTGATTTTTTCGGTCAGTACGGTTTTTCAGTTTTTTAAGTCACCCCTAGGCATAAAACATTTGGGGCAATAGATTCACAAAACAATGAGGGATCAAATTCCATAAATTTTCCTTTTCCTTTTCCTTTTCGCCACCAATGGAATGTGATTCTTATTTCTCTCCACTTTGATCGGTTCTTCTATTTAATTATTTTATTCAAATCATCCTACACATGTCAATGTCATATATTGGTGGTCCATTGGGATCACAGTATTAGACCAGATAGTTGGACTGCTTGGACTAAATAACAATCCGCTTAACTCATTCAAGTGATGGCAAATCCACACGTTAGTTGACGATATTTCTAGAATATTGTTTCTACGTGAATTATATTTTCTTGATAAATTCGAATTATTTATTATTATTATTATTTTAAAATGGATCAATAAAGTAATTCACTTGATAATTGGACCATCTGCGTGACAAAATATGGTCTTGCGTCATCATTTGTGCAGATATGATGTTATCGTTTCAACTTGAAATACTGACTTTTTCAAAAAAAAAAGGTTGAAACAATGACACATCACGTCATATAAGCATTGTGATTTCAACGGTAATACTGCCATGCGATACACTTTGGGTATTAACTAGAAACTAAATCCATGCAATGCCAGGGCTTAAGTTAGGTTTGGGTTTATGTTAAAATTGGGTTTATGAGATATTTGAACAAAAATTAGGTTTTAGTCGGCAAATTTTGATTTTTAGTATTAATTTGGGTTTAGATTAAGATTCATATTTAGAGTTGGGTAGGAGTAGGATTTTGATTGACAAATTTTGATTTTTGGCATCAATTTGGGTTTAGGGTAAGATCCATATTTTTTAAACTATACTTATGGTTTAACTAATTGACTAAGTGTATCCTTACTGTTTAAAAATTGATTTACACTACCCCCTACTATTTTTGACAATGGACTAACTCTACCTTTACCGTTAACATCTGTTAATATTCCGTCAAAACTCGAATACACGTGAGACCATGTGACATTTAAAATTCTTTTAAACCCAATATTACCCCTCCCTCGTTCCCTTCCTCTGACCTATAACACCTTTCTCAGACTGGAGGAGCAAATCTAGATTTTGATGGTTGACGGTGAGAACCATTTCCATTCTCTTCCTCTGACCTACAACTCCTTCCTCTGACCTACGACCAAGTTCCTAACAATATTTGTTTTGGCCCATTTCCATTCTCTTCTTTTTATTTTTTAAGTCTTTAATCTTTCGACAGCCTCCTCTCCCCCTCTCATTTTTCTCATTTTTTATCTATAGTCTCCATTGCAACTCCAACAGTGGCAGTGTTCTCACTAGCAACATGAGCATAGGTTTGACTCGGATACCAGAGACAAATAAGAACATGATTTGCTTTCTAGCACTTTTCTGGCACTAAATCCATGCCTCGTTAGGAGAAAATTTCTTCAATGGGAGGGGGGAACAGGGGCAAGACGAGTCATCTTTGACGGAGAGCAAACGAGTGTCGAAGATGAGTCATCTTTGACGGAGAGCAAACGAGTGTCGAAGATGAGTCATCTTTGACATAGGGCAAACGAGTCATCTCTCTCTCTCTCTCTCTCTCCTTCTCTCTCCCCTCCTCTTTCACTTCCTCCGTTCTGCCACCGTCGTTGCAACTTGCAACAACGGATTTGGTACTTCTCCTTCCACCGCTTCCAACACCACCGCTTTGCATCGTTTTCAAACATTATCTCTCTCTCTCTCTCTCTCTCTCTCTCTCTCTCCTTCTCTCTCTTTCTCTCTCCCCTCCTCTTTCACTTCCTTCGTTTTGTCACCGCCGTTGCAACTTGCAGCGGTGGATTTGGTACTCCTCCTTCCATAGCTTCCAACACCACTGCTCCATGCCATTTTCAAACATTCTCTCTCTCTCTCTCTCTCTCTCTCTATCTCTCTCTCCTTCTCTCTCTTTCTCTCTCCCTTCCTCTTTCACTTCCTCTGTTCTACCACTGCCGCTACAAGTAGACCTGTTCATGGGCCGGCCCGGCCCCCGGACGGGCTTGAACAGGCTTTTTGGCCCGCGGGCTTAACCTCGGGCCAAAAAGCCCGGCCCACATAAAATTCGAGCCGGGCTTTGCCAAAATAGCCCGGCCCGAGCTCGACCCGACCCGACATACCTAAGTAAAAATCCTATGTGATGTCCATTTGAATAAATTTTTTGATTTAAGAAGGTTGTTGATTCACTTGTAGGCCCATTGTTCATTTAAATAGGGGAAAAAACATCTGAATTAAAATAGATAATGTCCATTTGAATAGCAAAAAATTCAAATTTCTTTTATTAGGTCGGGCTTCGGGCTCGGGCTCGGGCTCGGGCCTAACATTTTTCTATTAGTAAAGAGTAAAAGCCCAGCCCAGCCCATGAACAGGTCTAGCTGCAAGCTGTAACTTGCAGCGGTGGATTTGGTACTTCTCCTTCCATCGCTCCGAACACCACCGCTCTGCTCCATTTTCAGACACTATCTCTCTCTCTCCTCTCTCTCTCTCATTCTCTCTCCCCTCCTCTTTCGCTTCCTCCATTTTGCCACCCATCGTCGGCCATCATCGCATTCTCCAAATCCTCAATCACTGACTGATAAAATACTCAAACTCGTCGAAATCGTAGATTCCCATGTAAGAGTTACTGGAGATTCTTGGTGGAAGCAAAATCAGAAGAGGAATCTAGTTCGCAGTAACCCACACACCCGATAGTATTCGTTCTCCACTCATGTTTAGACTGATTCTCCATGGTTCAGACTGAGCTCTCCTAGACAAAAAACACTGTCACACTGCTGGGAGTTGCAACGGTGACCCACGCAGCCAATGGTGTTCGTTCTCCACTCAGGTTCTGGCAAAAACATTCGGTGGCTCTCATTGGGGTTTGGAAGAAGGGGAGAGAGAGAGCTCGAATGTTTTGAGTTAAAACTTAAAAGGAGGGATAGATCGGTCGGGTGTTTGAGTTTAAGGGTAAAATAATCGTTTTATATTTTCCGTCAATGTTTAACGATTTTGGTAATGTTTAGACAATTGTCAAAAACATTAGAGGTAGTGTAAGTCAATTTTCAAAACTTGGTTAATTAACTAAACCATAAAGATAATTTAAGAAATTTACCCATCAATTTATTCGACTTGTATCCTGGTAGGACTCACGTTTTGTGGCTGCGTTGCGAGGGTGTATGCATGCCTGATTCAATGTATCAGATCCCTCACCCCTGTAGTTGAAAAGTCTTTATCCATATTTTTGAAGTAGAGAAAGTAGAGAATACCCACCTTTTTGCAGCCCCAGAGTCTTTATCAACCTTATATTTCTATGGGTAAAAAAAAGAAAGAAAACAACAAAGAAGAAGATTGGTTCTAAGCATCGCACAACTTAGTAATCCTAAATTCAAAATTAGTATAATCTGTTGTCACCAAAAGAACTCTTTTTGTTTATCTTAATCATGTATTTCTAACTGGTGTCGGTAAAGTTTGAGCTTTGAACCTTTTTTTCAAGCCTTTAGTCTATTCTTTCTCAAGCTGTCAAGCGTGAAAATTCTGGTTTGAATACGAGGGGGCCACTTTGTACCTGAAAAAAAATGCCAAACGTTAAAACGTACCCAGTCCCAGTCCACCCTTGAAAGAACCCACATAGCGGGGACCTAGAATGGGTCGGGTCTACCCAGCAGCAGAACCAAACTGACCGAATTGATTATGTCAGTTCTAGTTATGAGATTTTGTCCCGGTTAGTAATTGGATTGGGACTGATTCCTGTTCCTGCTGCCCCGAATCCATTCATACCAAACCACCAATTATAATTAAAGTTAATAATATATAGAGATTTCTTGGTATTTTTGTAATTTTAGTTATATTTATATTGGTTTCATAGCTAGGCAGTACATAATAAATTATTATTAAAAACACATTTTATATTTTAGTTTCATTTTTATTAAGGTTATATTACTAAAATAAATTTCTAAATTAATTGTGTGAAGACTCGATTGTCCCATTACTAATTTTGGTTCCGTTTTGGGTCCATCATGTTGTCCCGATTAATAATTGGAACTGGACTGGGATACGTTGTGTAGAGACCAATTGGAATTAAAATCTATAGAACTAATGGGGACCCATATGCAAGTATAACTTAATAATCAATTCTTGCCATTTTTTGCCTATTTTAAATGGCCCATGAATTCACCTGCTCCTCTCCAATGAGGATGATGAGGGTTCAGAAAACTGCAGAGTGTGTGAGTCATAAATCATAAAATATATACTCTTGTTTCATACGTATGGACCATTAATGTTCCACTAAACATAACGGCTGCCATGCATGGATGGAAGTTGGGTTCAACCCATTTTTGTTAAGGTTTAAATATTGTTTATCATTATCAGATAGAGTAGATATAATCATATCTTAATACCTTTGAGTCGCACTTGCATTTTCATGTTTGTCTTCGATCAGCTCGAGATTTTACCAGTTGGAGATTTGTTACCACAACATATCTAGTAATGACCCTTAAAAATTTAAAGTTTAGACATCTTGCATGCAAATATATGTGGAGTGTAGCCCAATATGATTATGGTCCAGTTAAACTGGCCCTCCCATTTAATAGATGATGAATATGGCTCCATAGCATATATGCATATATATATATATATACCCTCTCCTATTTTCAAATTAATATTTATTTATTACAACCAGTACGCAGATGCATTACTGTGGATGAATAGGTTTATCAGCCAATTACAGTAAAGATTTATTGATTTTAATTATTTAATATGAAAGTGTACTTGAATGGACTATTTTACATGGAATCCTGCATCCCACCACCACCGCCAGGAGGATCAAAAGCAGAAGGTAAGACCCTTTTATTTCTGGCAGAAACAGGAAGAAGATAATACATATAACTAATATAGCTATTGACAGTTGTAAAATGATAACTCAGCCCCATGAATCTCCAACAACTTTTTAACTCTTAGCAGCAACCAGCTGCAAGCATTCGTTTCGATCGATTCAGTGGAGAGAAGGTTCGACGCGCATGGTCTCTGAGATCCTGATCCTGACGGAGTAGCTATTGGTAGTACTCTAGTACTGCAACCTATCATGGTTAGTTTGGTTCACCTTAGCCACCATCTTTCCCGAGCGTCGGAACGTTGGAAGGAAGAGAACATGAAGACTATCTCCTCCACAACCTCCTCATTCCCTCCGGAAAGCCTGGCTGTCATCCTGCTCGCCGGCATTATAGAACCCCGACAAAGGGGACAACTGGACTGCCTATATCCAATCCATCTATCCAAGCAAACTCTGTGAAAGAGATGCTCACATCTCAGCTCTCGGATCTCTTCTCCTTCTTCTATCTTACACAAGCATATGGCGCACTCTGCTTGTTTCGTCTCAGACTCTGCGGCAGGCTGATTTAAAGTGAAGTAGCGCCTCACGCCGGGATCTCCGCCAACGTCGTCGGAGGCATCGCCATTAGAAGAGTTGATGTGGAAGAAGCCCAATAACAAGCTAAAATGGGTTCTTGCCGCAGCTCTGTAACTGAATATTGGAAGGAAGTAGATGAACATGCATGGAATGAGAAGTGGAAGGAAAGGAAGAAGCAGGAGGAGAGACGAAGCCTGGATATCCATGCTTCTTCCTTGGAGTGAGTACCGAGAAAATGTTTTTCTTCTTTTTTTCTTTTGCTTTGTATATGTCTTGGAGAGAGGTTTGCAACTAATTTATAGACGAATAGCATAGGAAGGAGGAAGTCTTTGGTCAATCCAACTATTGACACCACTGGTTCGTGAAACGGCCTTCCATGTCATATCTGCGTGCCCCTACCAAAGTGACATCATGGTGGGGCCCATACAGAAAGTATGGCCCTACCAAAAGATCTGATTCACTGTTTTAATTTTAGCCCAAGCCTGAACCTTGTCGTCTTCTTTGGGAAGCCCACTTCTGGTCACAAGTGCCAATATAGTTAAAAAACAAAACAAAAAAAAAAAAAGGTGGATATAGATTGATGCAAAGCAATTTTGTGCCACCTATCCTCAGCACATGGAACACATTAACAAGTTTTCCAAAGGCAATTTTTACAATGGATAATGTGTCCCACTGCTGAAGAGAGGTTGCACCAAACTGTGATCCATGTTAGCAACAGTTTTGGATAGTTATGTATGCCATTGGGTTGGGTAATTAATTAAAGTCGCATTGGCCCAACCCAAAACGGGTTAGTGTCATTGGGTTTTGGGTTAAGGTGGCCCATGATAAACTTGATCCGTTGACATTGCAGCATTGTAACATTTGTATAATTGTATTGAATTATGTGCCACACAGGTCGCGTTGGGTATGGATCAAAGTTGCTCCAGGTTTGGGTTCATCTCTCTATCTCTCTCAAATTGATTTTCATTTATTATAGATGAATTAATTAAATATATTCGGGTGGTGATTTCATTGTTGCTGATGACATTGTTTTAATTGATGATGAAATTAACTAGTGGATTAAATGCAAACTTAATAATAATAATAATAATAATAATAATAATAATAATAATAATAATAATAATAATAATAATAATAATAATAATAATAATAAAGGTATACCTTGTTTCAATAATTCATAACACGTGAGAGTTTTGAGGAAGACCCTAGAATTAGAGAGAAATTATCAAAATGGAGGGGTTTATCCAAAATTCATGTGATAGGAAAATACCACTTAGATTAAAAGAAAAATTCCATAAAATAATTGTAAGACTAATTGTGCTATAAGGAGCAAAATGTTAAACAATCAAGAAAAAACATGTCTAAAAAATGAATGTGACATAAGTGTGTAATCTGAGATGGATGAGTAGAAAGCTAGACTAATAGGTTCGGAAATGAAGTCATCCAAAGGAACTTATGAATAATTCCAATAAATGGTAAAATGAGAGAATGTAGAGTAAAAACGTTTAATCACATGCATAGAAGACCATCAACTACACCCGTAAGAAGTGATTTATTGCAAGTTAAAGGGGATTAGAAGGGTTAGCGATAGACCAAAATCGATATGAGTATAAGCAATAAAAAATGATTTAAGTGCCAATGATTCAACAATATGTATAACAAAATGGAATGGTGAAACAAAATTCATGCAGCTGACCCCATATGGGCTAGCCCCCATTGTCCAGCTCCATGAGACAAAAAACCAAAAAAGAAAAGAAACCCATAATTGTAATGTTATAAAACCAAAGTTTAAGTCAACCCCAAAACTGTTTTTCCATCATAGCGGTGGGTCAACAGTTCAATTTAATGTGTGATATCAAAATTAAATATAAAATTTAAAATTGATAAGAATACAAAAGAAAAAATAAAAGAAGGAACACCCCTATGTTTTTCACAAAAAAAATGCTTCTGCCACGTAGGCAGTGAGTAACACTATGTTGTTTTGTAAGGTGATTTTTATTACTGTTTTTCATGTATGTGCTGACAGGTAAGCACCACATAAGATATACATCAGTCAACCGTTGGGGGAAACAGTTCACCGATGTATGAAACACCAATGCATCGGTGGGATCCCGATTTTCGAGGCATGCCCGATTTTTTAATAATCGGCTGAACCAAACAATGAGATACATGGGCATTTGTTGAAACGCCTATGTGGATCCGATGTGGCACCGTTTTTTTTGAAAAATGGCCACGGTTCCAAACATTCCCCTAATATTACATATTCAATATATGAAAGAAAAATAATTGTGACAAATAAAAAACAAATGGTTCGATACACTTTAATTAAACCATGCACCTTTTAATTTATTTTTTAGTTTTTTCCAAATTTCAGTTACATATATTATTCATTAAAAAAATTGGATCCCTAAAAACACATGTAAAGAGGTATAGCAGATAACCAAAAATACAATATGATATTGATATACATGGCATATCAATATTTTGGGAAAATCTATGATGTGGAAAAGATATAGTATGGGAAGAGTTTTGACCAATCAAAACTCACCCATGAATTTTGATAAATGACACCTGATTGACTACCACGTTTATGATTCCAATTGATTGGTCAGAATTAATGATGCTGAAAAGATCATATATGGGAAGAGTTTTAATTTAAGCAATCAACCCTTTCCATGAATTTTGATGAATACTAGCCGACTGGCTGCTATCACTCTCTTACTGTTGATTTGTTACGAGCTTTTCCGATATCATAGTCGAACCCTCGATATTGAAGTAAATTTGGATGCCATTTTTATCAGTTGGATTTCGATAACCCTATCCAGATTCATTCCGGTCTCCGGTAAATTTGCATCCTTTTCTAACGTAACCTGAAAACCCCTTTATTATTCCTATTTACTTGCTGAATCAACGCTCAATCACTCCTTTTAAACGTGATTCTATATTAATTACATGCAATTGAAAAGAACATGGAAACCTTGTTCAAAAGGAGTGAATATTCAAGGGTTAATAGCATATAAGGGCAATTTTTAGGGTTTAATATCAATAAAAGTAATATATTTAAAAAAATTCAAAAACAGGTTAACTTTTTAAAAATAATATCGATAAAGGGTAAAAATATTGTTCATCTTCTTCTTCTTGCCATTTATTGCATATGGATGAATATACACTATTTTTATCATCTTCATTCTTCAAGGAATACCAAACAAGAGAACACATACCCCATCAAAATTAAGGGTCTCGTACAGGCATAATGTGCCATACAATATAATTTAATTCCAACTTTTGAAGTTAGGATCCTGGTTCGTGATTTGTGTATTGAGAAATATCGCAGAAAGATCTCATTTGTCTGGTCACGTGGAATTGGTCAGGAGACCACTCACATTCTCTTTCCTTAACAAGTGATGCCGGCGTGGTGACATATCCTAGTTCATCAATCTTGACCATCGTTTTCGCCTTTGGTTCCTTATTTTCTCCAAATTCCGTTTCAATTTTCCCACTGTTTGTTTGGAAAAGAAAATATGACCAGACTTTTCAAAAGCATTTCAGAAATTGAAGTAGACGTCTCCAGTCTCCAATTGAAGTCGGTGCAATTGAATTGCCACCTGACATTCTGAGTAATCAATTTAATTGGGTAACTCAATTTTACTTTTATCACTTCCTCTTTGTCTTTATGTTGGTGAGCTTTTCTTGAACGACCCAATAACTTATGGAAAGGTTGAAGTGGACCATTTGGTCTACTCAGATGATAAACCGCTAATTATTTATCTTGTTATAGATTTCATAAACAATTCAAAATCATCTGCTTTTGAAAATAGATTGTTTCTCAAAACAAGAAATACAAAAAACATGTTTTTTCATTTGATTATTTAATATTCCATGATTCCATCATCATCCATGCCTTATTTCAATTGTTTAGTTATTTAATGTTATGTTTCATAAATCATATAATTCTATACTATAAGATTTGTTTTTAAAAGGAAAAACAATTTGGTTTTATTTTAAAAAATAATACACGTTTTTTGAAACCATCAAAATGGTGGCTTTAAAACATAAATTAATAACTTCTGTAGTATAGGAGTTGTATTGTTTATGGAACATGACGTTAAAAATTCAGATGAATATTTTCTTTCCAAGAACCAGTTTGTTTTTAAACCAGCTGGTTGTTTTCGAACTTGCAACAAGAAAACAATAACATTGGAAAAAAAAAAAAAAAACACATTGAGTCATGCCATGTGGATTAATAGAAACTGACAAAAATAGGATAGTTAAGGCCTTGTTTGATTGCAATTCAAATATGATACAGATACAAATTTTGCACCCAGTTCAATTTTGTAACAGTTTATTTACAATAATTGATTTGCACTCTTATTTAATATAAAATTTGTACTTTTTGTTACATTTGCACTTATAAGCATTTGTATCTCAAAAACTGAACCAAATTATACCACTTTCCACCTACTTCAACTCTTTCTCATATAGAGTGGAGTTTTCTAGCTCACTCCTAAATAATAAATTCCCCTCCTCCTACCTCCTCCATTCTCTTGAATATGAGGTGGGGACAATATGATTAATTGTACCACTTATTTTATTTCTCTGAAAGATAAATCTAATACAAAAGTGAAATATAATTTACACAGCCTATTTGCACTCCCTGTCTAATGCAAATGAAATTTACACAGCAACCAAACTGAATAAGGAAAATAATTTTAAGTATATGATGCCTGGAAATGGATAGGGATGTAGACACAGACGCACCCTTTTTTCTCTTCTGGACATAGTTATCAATACAGATATCCTATGTAATATTAGGGGTGATTATTTCAGCCCGGCCTGGAAATTCTGGGCTTAGGCTTGGGTTTTGTGTTTAGGCCTAGCCCGGGCCTGGGCCCATAATAGGCCCACAAATTTTAGGGCTGGGCTTAGGCTTAATACTTCAAGCTCGGCTTGGGTTCAGCCTGGTTTCCATATATTTAAATTTACACATTTTGTGTATAATGTATACATATGTTATTTTACATTATATTATATATATTTTGTATATAAATATTATAACATGATATGTATAATTTATATTATATATAATATTTTATATTATATAATGTATAAAATAAGTTTATATGCATGTTATGTCATTTAATATATAAACATGTAATGTTTTATATATGAGTGACATTGGCCTGGAATCAGGCCCGGCCCGGCCTGG